TCTTTTTTCCAATTACTATATTTTTGAATATCAAAAAATAGTAGCACAAATACAGCTTTGTTATTGCCATTTGAAAAATCTTGAGAAAATGGATGTTTCGAAAGACAGAAGGGTAATAATTTATAAGAACTGTATAATTCTTCTTTGCTTGGCACTCTTCTGCATCTGTCTACATTTTAATTTCTGACCGTGTCAACCTGACAGTTGCTTCCATCAGTCATTAAGCTACCATCTTCTCCTTGTGCTTTCCTGTAGCCAAATCTTTGGGTTTTTTTAACTGTTGACATTATGCATGGATGACTTGGAAATGCTAATGTGCCATGCTCATGTTGTATTTATATATGTTATAATGCTGTCTTAGACACAAATTGACGTCAAACTCCCTTTGGTCACATTGTTAAATCACATAGAGCTGAGTGAAATAGCAAGAAAGATACAAGATGCGTTAAGTGTCTCTTCTGTACTGCGTGTTTGGCACCTTTTAGTGTGGAAGGGTGTCAAGGAGCTGAATTTGTCTCAGTACAGGGCAACTGCCTCCCTTAAAAAAAATAAAAATAGTCTGTCAAAAAGGAATCAGTAAAAGCAGCTTTGCAGTTCCACCTGCATTGGAGGTGACTGCCAGTTCTAAAGGTGTTTGGTCTGTAGGGAAGACAGTCAGCTTGTCTCAACTGCCATCCTTGGCAAAGGCACCGCTGGGTGCCTCCTTGGTTAGCTACGTAACACGCACTTCTTCAGCTCCCAGGTATTTCTTTATCTTACTTTATCAAATACTGAAGAAGCCCTGTGAATGTTAAATATCGTCTATATTCAGAAGATAGCAAATTCTGTGATATATTTTATGGTGGTTTGGTGGTGATGGTTCGGTTTGGTTTGTGGGTTTGGTGTTTTTTTTTTGAAATGGAAGAATAGTCCTGTTTTATTGCATCTTTCAGTCCTTTAGTAGTGGGATGATTTTGCACATGTTTATTTTTTTCCTAAAGCTTTTTTTTAGGAGGATCATCTTTTACCCAGTTAATCTCTCATCCAGGAACTGGTGTCTAAGAGACTTTTTGACTGTGAGAGGTTCTGTGTCATTCTGTTTCTCACATGGATTAATAACTTTCCCTGCCAATTCCCAAACGTCATGTTCTGTTTTGTGCCAGAAATGTAAAATTTCAAATGTTATTTGTATTTGGACAGGCAGAAGGTGACTATAATGTTTTAAATAGTAAAGTAATTAAGCTAGCATTGACAATAAACTCATTGCCATACTTTATAAAAGATGAAGAAAACCAGAATTTCTTCATTTCCTCAATGTGGCTTTGAATTTGTGAGATAATGATGAGTTCTGAGGGAAATTCTAAGAAGGAAAACAATGTAGTAGCAATGAAAGCATGATGATAGAAAGAACAAATCTTATCACTAGGAGATGACAGAGATAGCTGAAGGGGGGAAGTGTTGTGTGGCAAGGAGGCACAATGAAAGTAGCTGTAGCACGAAAGTTATTGCTGTGTAATTGTGTTAATGTATTGATAAGTCATACTGTGTGTATGTGTATAGAGAGATATATTGGCACATATTTACTGAAACATCACCAATAGTATATAAACCAATAATATACATAGTAATACAGTAAATATATGACTCTAAGAAGAAATGTAAATTCTATGAAAAATATGTAATCACTGTGCATTTTGTAATAAAGACACATATTCCAATAATTTAATAAATAGTAGTGTAATTTTAGTACCAGGAAAAATACTGCTCTTTCTATTCACAGAAGGATTTGATTTAGCATGAATATCCTAACACACTGATGTAAAAGTAGTTTACTTTAGTCATTGGGGCAATTGTTGACAGAGATTTATCTTATTTTGAAACCTTTTGTCACAGTGGCTTGAGAAGGTTTCTGCAATGAGTAACAGCTTTAATGCCTTTAAATTTTCTTTCATTCTGCAAATGTTCACTACATATGTAGGTACTTTGTGGTTTTCATATTTTTCTAATGCTTTCTGACTCAATATTTTAGTGTTGCTGCTGCTCAATAAATTATTTTAAGGATTGCAGGGACAGTTCAGTGTAGATTTCATGTTCTAAGTTTTTTATCCAAGCCTGTGTTGGACGATGTATTTCAACAGGGAAGAAAAAATGCAATCAACTCTGTGTCTAAAATATGTCTGGTTGTTTAAGAGGTCCCATCTTAAAAGAAATGTTGTTTTATTTGCAGAAAGCCATATTCTTGAGGATGTAAACAAGTGTATCATTGCACTGAGAGAGCAGAATGCGGACAATTTAGATCGTGCAGCAGGTGCGATCCGAGGACGTGCTTCCAGAGTAGCTCATATTGTTTCGGGTGAGATGGACAATTATGAGCCAGGGGCTTACACTGAAGGAGTGATGGCGAATGTTCAGTATTTGACCAAGAATGGTAAGTCTGATTTCTAAGCTATGTTCTCACTTTATTTAGTGGTATGACTTTCCTTTCTACGCCACAGTTAAAGCGAATCCTGTGATTCTCTGATCTAATGCACTAATTACGCACTAATGATTCACTATATGCTCTCCCATCCCCTTTCAGGGTGTTAGCCGATTGTGATGATACTGTGCAGTTCAAAACCAATTTTTAAAATTTTATTTGAATTACATCATTTGTGTAAGGTGTTTTAAGTTATGGAAGACATTTGCTAGTGTTTTTAAATAAATGCAAGTAACAATATTTGGAGACTTCTAACTGAGAAGACGGCAGCTTTTGCTTTGTTGTACTGGCCTCACCAAACCTGTTGTAAGCAGATGAAAGCCAAACTCAGAGAAGGAGAAGCAAATTCATGATTTGTGTGTACTTGCCACTTTAAGGACTGTTGAGCATTGGTTAAATATCCTCAAATATCTTCAGTTTTGCTATGCAAATTTGAAGCTTCCTAAAATGGTTACTAGTGTCCATTTCCATTTTCATGATATTGAAAAAGAGGGTATCCTCTGGAGTATCCCTGTACTGGCGGCAGGGGTGCAACTGCACTATTTTGTAAATGGTTTCTGTTGTCTATGTGAACAGTTGTTGTTCATATAAATTAATCTCTAGCTTTCCATAGTATATACTTAATAAAAAAAAATAAAATCTGTGGAGCTCCCAAGACGTCCATGTCTTCAGTGAATGCAAGTCTAATAGTTGAGCAGTTAAAAAAAATTGCCATTAAAATGTTTTTTGGCAAGTCTGTGTACATATCTAGAATATAGTATTTAGCTTCATGAAGTCAGAGGTCTGAATTGTAGCTCTGTCAGTCTAAACAAATTCCTGGTCTCTTACATTTGACTTGATGTTTATTTTACCACAAAAAAAGACAGGAGTTTTGTCTGAACTCTCTTTTAATCAATTCAAATAGGTCCAGGACAGAACTGTCTTCATATGAAACAAGAGTGAACTGACATCGCCATAAAGTGGCAAAAGGAACAAAATAGTGAGAAAAGTTTGAAATAGACTTTCCTGTTTTTATCACTTTTTCTGACATCGTGGTGAGAAAATCTTAGAACTTTCAACATGAGATTCTTTTTTTGTAACTTCTGAAAGTGCTATGACAAATACCAACGGAAGCAGCAATTATAGGAAAGCATAGCTTTGATTCCCATGTAAAGCTGAGCCCTTCTTTCTTGAAACTGGTTGTGTTTAAACACATTAGGAGTTGACACTGGTTTCTGTTCTGTTGCCGTGCTTTGACAGTAACATATAATGTACCTAGAACTGTGTACCTACGAAAAACAGGAAGACATAAAACTGGTTTTGGTTCAAATGTTTGCCTGTGTCAGGGGACATTAAGCATGGTGACATCTGCTTAAATGGCTTTGCAGTACTTCAAACCTAAGAATCCACTATCTTTGCATTAGTCAATAGGAGTGGAAAAAAGAAACATGTACTTTCTAGTCTTACTGTATTTATATGATCTACAATGAACAGACATCAAATCATGGAAGGTTTTTTCATTGCTTGATGTTTATTTTTTGTTTTGTTTGTTGAGTTCAGTTGTTTCAGCTTACAGGTAAAATGCAGGTAGGCTGCAGCCCTCAGGTGTAACCCAAAGCATTCTGTCACTGCTGGGTCTTTCAGGAGCCAGCTGATTGTGAGGTGACACTTCTCTAGGAGAGAACTGTGTATTTATGCTGTGATTAGCTCCTAAGTTAGCTTACGTGAGTAACCTAAGGCAGTGAAGTGCATCCTTTATACCCACTGAAAAGGTGATGTCTTACTGAAGAGAAATTATTGCAGGCAGAGTATAGAGTTAGTGAAAATAGAATTCTAGAATAATGGCATACACAGAAATTGCAGAGAAATAAAAACGCCACTGGAAGAGAGAACAGGAGCCAGAAATGGGAAGGATGCAAATTGGAGGTAACAGGACAGAGAAATTTTGCGTACGGAGGAGCAGATATATTTACTGGTCGTTAAAGACCGAGGTTAAATTGTAGCACATGCATTGAGGTAGCTTATAAGAAAATAAGGTGAAATTTTCTGTATTACAGTATATTCAGGAAAAAAGTGTAAGATCACTGAATATCTCTTCAGATGGAAGACGTCAGACATATTTGAGATGGTAAAGTGAGCTCTTCAACAGTAATACCAGGATACTGCCATACTATGGGTATTAAAAGCTAGTGCTTAATTTCTTAGCTCGTTGTGTAGTCCTGTTTAGATACAAGTTCCTGATGGCCGAGTGGGTCTCTACAGCACTGTGCAGTGGAGTGTCTGCTTTCTCGGGCTTACGTTGTGCCACTCTTCATTTTGCCCCTTCCCTTTTCCCCAACAAGAAGAAAACTCCAAGCAAATGAACAACAAAGCTCTGAGAGCACCATTTACATTGTGGAGTCAAGGCCTTATAATTTAGGTAATACCAGAACTACAGTTGTCTCTGCAGCCGTGATTGGCACTCTGTGTGTATGCATTATGACATTGTGATTATGTGATCGTACACAGTTATGTTACAAACCAGCTGCTTAATTCAGGTCACTGGATGGACCTGCTTCAGGCATATGCCATGGTCACATAATAGAGGAGGCTGGCGTCCATAGGATCAATTTGGAAAGTAATGAAGCAGAAGACTGCAGGAGGAGAATATATGATCTGATAGGATAGTTCATTTGGACTGCGACTGTCTGTGCAGGGTTCCTGCATGATACTGTGTAAGTTCATGAGGCTATAGCTAATTGTGGTGTGAGGGAGCGCTTCGCAGCTCCTCGTCTGAGTGAGACTGGGTCCTTGTTCTATATCACGATGAGACTGGGACATTCTCTGTCCCCTCTCGCTCGCAGGTTTCAGTGGGAAGGGCATGTAGGTTTGTGGGTAAGAAAGAGAACTGCAAAGCATTCCAGGTAACCCTACTCTAGATGATTGGAAGTCAGTGTTTGAGAATGATGGCTTGGAAATGCATGCCTCAGGATTTGTGTGAAACCGTTACGGACCACTGGAGAAGAGAGTGTTCAGTCCTGTGATCTGTATACTCTGTGCAGGCAGTTGTTTAAACCAGCATTTCTTATCTTGATTTTAGAAGTACAAAGGTGGTAGAGGTTCAGGCTGAACTCTGGTATGGTTAAGACTGTGAAAATCTTAGTACTGGTACCTCTCTGTCATTCCTCATGTCTGGCACTGTTGATTAGACTGAAATATGCACTACCTTTCATTTTGGTAGGGTTTGTGTACTGTTGCATGAAAGCAAAATGAAACTTTTAGAAACACTGTTTGTAAAAACCTAAGATATTTCCACTTCAGAACTGGAAGAATAACCTTGTACTGTATTTTTAAATATCAAAGTCTACTCTGTCATTTTACTGCCTGCCAGAATCTGCAGCAGTCAGGTTTAAGTAAACAATTTATATTATGGCATATATCTGTTGATATAGTAAAAAGCCTGTATTTATTGTAAATTTTGTCTACAGTTTTGCTTTTATGCCAAAGTATAACAATGTACTGTGTACATCTGTATATATGTATATGCTTATATAAATCCTCTAGGTACTTAGATCTCAGGATCTTGTAAAAAACAGGGAAAACGGTGGAGACAAAGATGATAAGTATTTTAACTGTCTTAAGGAACTAGTGAAGGTATCTTTCCCTGAATCACTGGAGTTTTGAATCATATTTTTTTATTCCAGTAGTGCTGATGGAATTACAGCAAACCATTGTCCACAGCTTCTTAGAACCAGAATTATAAAACACCTTGTAATTCACGTAAGGATAGGGCTTAAACTTTAAGTTTAGGACTAGTAGTGGAGTTGTATTTGGAATGAAAACCAAATTTAACTGTTCTCAAATTAAAGGTCAGCTGTAGGCGTTGTTCTGAGACAGATACTGGTATGAAAAACAATACTGTTCTCGTTCTCTTCGAAGTATGGATTGAGACAGAGTTTAATCTCTGAGACAGAATGGTGATATCAAATGTAAAATTGAACATGGATTTGAAAATTTCTTCCTGCCTCCAAAAATGTTTGTAAACCTGTGCCCATAACTGTGAGTTCCAAATACTTCCTGAATATGAAGGATGTAAGTCAATACTCATATACCTAAATTCTGTTAAGTCTTGTTGAAAGTAATTAAATCTGTTACTCATGCAATATTTGCACCCTTAAACTATGAAGTAGTAATTGAATTGGCTGGAATCTAACAGCTCAGGGCAACAGGCGACCCCCCTCCTTGCCTACCTCAGCTCCCCAGGTGCCTCTGCAGAACAAGTATGAAGCTCTGGAAGTGGAAGGCCCATCGATGGATAATGTGGCTGAGGGTCCATCTGCCTTGGAGGTGCCACCAGGGTCAGAGAGGACAACCCCCAGTATCAAGAACGCCTCCACAAGGAAGAAAAGAAGGGTAATAGTTATAGGTGACTCCCCATCTGAGGGAGACAGAAGTTCCAATATGCTGGGCTGACCCTGCTCTGAGGGAAGTCTTCTGCCTCCCTGGAGCCCGAGTTAAAGGTGTTGCTAGGAAACTTCGTAGCCTGGTACGGCCCATGGGCTACTACCCGTTATTGCTCTTCATGTGGGTGGTGATGAAACTGAAACACGAAGTCCAAAGTTGATCAAGAGAGTCTTCAGGACTCTGGGAAAGCTGGTAAGAGGATCTGGGACACAGGTTATCTTTTTTTCTATCCTTCCAGTTGCAAACAGTGACACTGGAAGAAGCAGATGCATCCGATGAATTGGTATGTGGCTCTGTGGCTGGTGTCATTGCCACAATTTCGGCTTTTTCGATAATGGGATGCGCCACATGGCACCAGGCCTACTGGCACCAGATAGAACTTGCCTTTCTCAGAGGCGAACAGGAGTCTTGCACATGAGCTAGCAGGGCTCATTCACAGGGCTTTAAACTAGATTTGAAGGGGGTGGGGGGGAGGGGTACTATAAAGATTGATAACGATCTGCTGGAAGTACCTGAAGAGCAGCAGAAAG